GCAGAGAAATGCTTGATTTTTAGCACAAAAATGGCCGCCATTTGACCAGATCAGAATCAGATCGTGAAACAAATTGACGTGCATATGTATAATATCATGTATGATGTATGTGTGAAGTTTGATTGTGATTGGTCCAGGCATTTCTAAGATACAGGTCCGGACGCACGCACAGACGTACGCACGCACGGACACACGGAGGTCAAAACATAAGTCCCCTTGCTAGTACATGTATGTACTTTTAAGTCAATATTGATAATGAAACACAGATCCAACTCTGATATTTTACCGATTCGTTTACTTTAGAATTAGGCAGAGGGTTCTTAGAACCCGCCTATTCACATAGTCTGTGAAAATGACTATTTTGATCTGTAGGCATTAATCTATGATTCAGCCAATGACTGAGAGAGAAATCTAGGTCAGGGGAAGCCCCATGAACTCAAGATTTCCCCCCTACGTCACGAACCACGTGACCGAGGTAATGAGGCGGCGCCATATTAACTTCCAAGTCAGTCAGATTCTTTTTCTCCGCATCAAGGACTAAGCCAATGCTCTGGAAAAAGTGGGGTGGTCGAGGCGGACGCGGAGTCTATGGTGGGTATGAACTATGTGAATAGGCGGGTTCGGAGAACCCTCTGTCTATATTCACTATGATCAATTACCCACCATAGACTCCGGTCAGTCAAAATGACTATTTTGAACTATAGGCAGAGTCAGACTCCGATAGGTGGCGGGTTTCCGAGCAAACCGAAAACAATAAAAAGGGTGTCCCAGACCAGGATAATACCCTCTACATTTTGTTTTTACCTATGACCACCTAATTGAGACCAGTGAAGAAACCGTGTTCTACCTTGCCAGTGCCGTCCCCGTAACAAAGCCAAGTGCTGATGGGGTTGGGTATGCCTGAAGCCGCTCAACCCAAACTCTGGGTAAGAAGCTTTCAAAAGAAGAGACCGAAACAGTTCTGCATGAGGGCATAGGTTCAAAAGCGAGACCTGAAAGGTTCCAAAGAGCACTTGCGGGAGAAACTTCTCCGCACAAATCTGCTGGGTCAGTAACCATAGACTGACCAGCTTACGACAGGACCCTCCCTAAAAGAGACCCTCCTCAATAGAATGGGCATCTCATAGGTAGAATTGGTAAAGACGTTTGCATTCTCCAGAATCGCACGGACCTCATGCCCATACTTGGTGTCTCTGTAAACCCTGTGTCGAGGAAGCCTATTGGTTAAAACCTCAAGCCTGGTCACAGTGATGCACCTGGCCATTTAAGTCGGGGAGACTGGTCTGTCCAGTTTACCCTGGCCTTAACACATAACAGGGCAACAAAATAACAAAAATAAAAATTATGACATGAAAATTCGAATGGAAATGAATCAGCAAGAGGCCATCTTATTTTGAACGAAAAAAGTGATGCCTAAATATGATACGTATACTGTATATAATATAATAAAACAAGCACAATGAACCACAACTAGGTTTAATCTATCCAATAAATGAATAAATATTGATCTTTCTAAAACACATTATGAATAGAAGGGGCCAACCGGTCAAGTTTGTTAGAAGTGTTTCAAGTTGCAATTCTTAACAGAGAACCTTAAATTTAAGTGCGATATTCACGAACTAGCTCCGCTGTTTGTGATGCATGCTCTGAAAGCAATGACTAAGAAGCAATTTAAACTTAATGCTAGCTGCTTTAATATCGCAAGACACCAACTTTCTTGATTTTGTTGCAGAGAATATTTCACTAAACGTAGAGAATTGAAGATATCTTTACGAAAAATCTAATAGAGGTCCACCCAAGCTGCATGTGTACTGGTTTTGAAGGACAAGTCAATATGTTTTTTGATGAAAAATGACGAAAATATTTGCTAAAAATAGAGAATTGAAGATGTTGACAGAAATTGAACAAATCTGATATTGGTCCACCCAGGCTACATATACATCAAGAATCATGGCATTCAGGGTTAACAATTTTGAAGAAGTCAAAAATATCATTTTTGAGCCAAAAATGACAAACCTATTCGCTGAAAATAGAGAATTCGAGATATGATTTTGAACAAATCTGACTGAGATCCACCCAAGGTACATGTACCTACAAATAAAGTTACAAAGCAATCAAATTAGCAGTTTTCAAGAAGATAACGTTTTTGACCAAAAATTACAAAAATATTCATCAAAATTAAAGAATTGTCACAAAATCAACAAATCTGACAGAGGTCCACCTGATACACATACATATACAATATCAAAGCAATTGGACAAGCAGTTTTCAAGGAGAAGTTGAAAATAACATTTTTTACCAAAAATGACAAAAATATTCATCAAAATTAGAGAATTGAAGATGTAGTCACAAAATCAACAAATCTGAGAGAGGTCCACCCAAGGTACCTACATACCATATATCAAACCATTTGGGCTAGCGGTTTTCAAGATGAAGTAGAAAATAGCATTTTTGACCAAAAATGACAAAAGTATTCGCTATAATTAAGACAATTGAACATATCCACACGAAATGAACAAATCTGAGAGAGAACCAGAAAGTTTCACAGCTATACAGTTTGTGGTTTTTAAGAAGAAGTCGAAAATGTAAAGTTGACGACAGCGACGACGACTGCCGACGGACAATCAGTAATACTATAAGCTCCGCTCGACTTCGCCGACAGCAGAGCTAAAAATTATGTCAATATGCAACTATTGAAAGACTTGTCGGCTAAAGAATTGTGTTGAGCTTCTAAATTTATATAACGTATCAATCAGGATATTTTTATTTTCTGTTGTAAAAACTAAAATATGAAGGGAACAATGAATCGATCGTTTAAATAGAATGCTCTGCTATGAAGTGACTATGCTTTGTGGAAAGCCATACCCAGCACACATCGAGCACAGCAGGTAATTCACACCATAGACAATAGCAGTTTCCAGACCAGGAATAGAGGGACTGTGATGGAACTAAATAATAAGCTCCATGGTGCAAGAAATTTACATACAAAAGTTCTCTTTAAGAGAATAGCATAATGCATGATGTTAGCTTACAGAATTAACGCCTTCCTTTGAAATGATAACAGCTGTGAACCAAGTAAACAACTAGGCAGACCATGCAAATTACATTTCCCATGACACACTGGTGCAATTTCTGTGATTGCAGAGCCCCGCTTTATACCTTTCTGTGTCAGTGTTTTATCAATAAATTTGTGCATCTGTTACATATCCATGAACATACAGTGTATCACCTTGCCCGTAAGTCCACTGATCGATTGTGCGACTTAAGATGGTTACATATTTGGAACTGGTTAGTTCAAACTACTACTAAATATTATGAGGGTGCACAATTAGGCTAAATGCGCACATTTACGAGCGTTATTTCACGCACCAGACACATCATAAACTGTGTCCTGACATTTCATACTGTGTCAGTACACATTTTGTATAAAATTAATTGAAAGGCCGTCGCTTCGTGATTTTCCATTTATATTTAAAGTGTCAGAGTCCCCCACTATTAGTTTGAGGTTGGTGGTCAACTTGTTCTAATCTCGTAACAATCTCCAGATGCGCATAGCAAACCAGTCAGCAACTTAGCTGGCAATGTTGCTGTTTTAGTATCACCTAATGATGTCATGCAAAAGTTATACCCCTGAAAGAAATGTTTTATTTGAAATCCAAAACTTTAAAATCTGTCACCAAAGACACAATTCATAGCCTTGCCAAACAATAGTGGTCTACATGTAACACTCCCTGTAGCAAGGTACCTAAATAAGTGTTTTGAAATAAGACAGCAACACCAGTGACAATTTTTTTTCACAGTTAAGTTTTGCATTTCATTTTATTTATTTTTTTCTGTAATGTATTAGCTCAGTTTTTTTTATCTTTTAAGCTTTTATTCTTTCTTAAACATTTGTAACCATGGCCAATCCCATCGGGGAATGTGTAAGTGTTAAAATTATTATTTAACTAATAGTTAGGTTAGTTGAGATTGCAGCAAATATACTTGCATAGCTAGAATTCAGAAAAACTATTGGGTTAACTGATAGGGTGTTATTTTTATTAATTTGGCTGTTTAATTCTAGTGACATTAATTAAATGTGGTCACCTCGCCTCTTGCCAAAGATCACAGGAAATCATTTTTTTGTGTGTGAATTTTGCTAGTCAATGAAATTTGCCCTGCGATCCTGTGACATGAGGTATCAATTACTTTCGCGAAATTCTGTCTTGAATCTTGAAATCACAATAATTTCTAACGATGAAAATAAACGGTTTACAACAAAGGTACTGTAGAAGATGAAAAACATTTCATCCTTGACTGTTGCTTTTTCACTCAAGAAAGAAATACCCTCTTAATAGAAGACTGTAAATTAGAAATGTGTAGTACAACTAACCGAAATATAATATTCACTTGCATCATAAATAGTAGTACTGCGTATTTTATATACACCCTTTGAATTGTTTGTAATTTTTGAAACTTTTGTTGTTTTTGTTTATTTGTTTTTGTTTTTTCTGATCTGTATCATTACCATACAACACCCACCGATGGTGCAGTTGTGTAATAAAGTTAGTAATAACATAACCGGGACTGTGACATGACTAATGCAGGATTGAACTTACACTGACTGCCGCCAGGGCAGCTTCGGTGAAATGCGCTTCTCCCCCGTCGACTACAACAAACGGCAGCCACCAACCTTTACCTCCATCGTTCTTCAGTAGCAAACACTTTCGGTCGTTTTCCCTGAAAATGAAAACAACAACATTTGTTGTCGTTCTCGTTTCATCTGAGAACGACTCACTGTGAGCCGACATCTTGCCTGTGGACGGCGTGGACGAGTCCATTCAGTCCACGGGGTTTAGTATTAATCTCCGTTCTCCTTTCTGTTGTTATCAATTTTAAATTCATTAAATTCATCTAACAATAAAATATTTATTTACACTGATTTATTATATTTTTAATTATCATATGATTAGATTTTAAATTTACCGGAGCGGATTTACCTTTACACAAATTAATCAGTCCACTTCCGCTTCACCCACATGTTATACACTTGCAGTACAAAATTAGTTTTCACGATGAAGATTTGTGAGATTTGTAAAGGAGAACCGCCCAAATATAGATGTCCAAAGTGTAATATACGTTAGTAAGTAACGCCAGGGGTCTTCTAAGTCCCCATCGCACTGTTTCATTTGTATTAATCCTAATTCTACACGTAACGATGTCGCAGCCTGTTGTTGTTATTGTTGTAGGCTGATGCTGATGACCAACTCTTTCCCCAAATTCAATATACAGCGATCTAAATTATGGATACTGTAAATGCTTATATTAAGCTTATTAGTGATATGACGTACATCATCGACACTGCATTTAGTTCATGTGCGAGATCAGATAATGCCTTTCCGGTACGAGCTGCAGTGTAATTAGCTCACGATTCCCGGTCTTTGGGTCATTGGGGAAGTT